CACACATGATTTGCTCCCGCGGGCCATATAAAATGATGTGGGGGGGCCGGATCTGGTCCCCGGGCCTTGACTTTGACACCTGTGTTTTTAAAACTCGTCATCGCTAAACCAGCACCGTAAAAGCAGTCCGTGTGATAAGCAGTCTCATGATGCCTCCGGCGTTCTATGCCGCGCGGTTTTACTCGTCGCCGGCGTCCAAATGCGCAGCAGGTGAGGTGTTGGCGCCTCAGATTTACGAGGAGTTCTATCGAAGAGCGCCAATGTCAAAATGGTTGCAAACATCTGTAACCCATCGTAATTCCGCGTCCCTTAAATGCGCATTAGCCTGGGATGTCAGCAGACGTGGAGACGTGCGTGAAAATGCATTCTTCACCAACAAGCTCTAAAGCGTTCTGCATTAATTATCTTCATCCGTGACTCAGACGAGAGCCTAACTTCTTCTCTTTGATGACGTAATCCAACATAACACTCGTACCAACCATTCAAACAAAAGATACCTCAAAACCCGCACTTTCCTGAATGCACCACGATAGTACAGCTCTTTCGGAGGGCCAAGCTCTTTCGGAAAAAGTGGATGTCCAAAAGTCCAAACAACATGGTTTGGAATTGCCTATAAATGCCAAGCGATGGCAGCAAAGCACTTTTTTTTTTTTTAACTCTGAAATAAATGGCCGAAAGAAACGAAGCTCTTCCCCTCAATTCAACATAGTTGCTTGGCATCAAGATGCCACCAGATGGCATCAAAACAATATTTTGATATTAGACATGGTTTTGGCCTGAGCAAAAAAAAAAAAAAAACTGAACGTGTGAAATTTTACTTTGCCACCTACAGAACAAAACTCCGCCATAAACCAAAAACTCTGCACAATTTGCCACGTATAAAGCGGTGTGCTTAACAATACCTTAACATTATGTGCATTTTCTTCACACCATAGCAATCAAGCAAACAAGGCTGAGAAGTCTTTGTTTTTCATACCATCCGCAGTCAACGTTCTGATGAAATTAACTGCCCGCGCATACCAATCTTGATGAACGCATTTGTAATTCAAGAAGAAACAACCTCAACAGTGTCTAGATTTATTTTGCTGTAATTTGTGCTTTTTAGAGATGATCTGAATGATCATCAATCGAGCCCAGGTAAGCAAAATGGTGATGGCTGTCAGTGGTAATTGATCACTGTGATTGGCTGTTATCTAGCAAATCTGTGCATGAGGCACAAATAGGAAATAAAGCGACATTACCTTAAACTCCGCAAAACATTGGCTTTTTATTTAGAGCTGATCCCGATGTGTTCTAAGTGTGTTGAGGTTCTGAATTCATGTGCATTTTATTTCATGAAACCCTGACTGTGGATGGTATGATCAACAATGACTTCTCAGTTACCGAGGAGGCTATGAACATGCGAATGAATGTACGTGCATGCCCGTTCAATGAGATCTTGTCTCACCCTGGCCACCCCCGCTAAAAAAAAATTCAGTCTACCCCTATGCGCCACCGAGACAGATTTGTACTTAAATGCGGAAGCCTCTAAAGGGATTTGTTTCTTTGATGCGCCCTAAAAGTCCCGTGGATTTATGTAAGCGTGTCATGTTCTCTGTGTAATGAGCCTCTCTTCACGTGCCCAATGAAAGACGCTGTTTTAACAGAGGCTAAATGCGCAGCCAAAAACATGTCAGCGCAGGAAGACCAAACAGATGCTCGGGCATCAGCAGCGGCAATCTGGCTTTCACCAGTCGACTCATATAAATAAATCAAAATAAACCATTCTCGGCAGCTCATTGACTCCAGTTGCAAAGAAAAAAAAAAATGTTGAATTCCCACGGTCGGACATCATCATTAAAGCGTGAGTGCCGGTCCAAGCGAGCTGTGACCGACTGACCACGGGTTAGCCTTCAAATTGATTTTTTTTTTTTTCCTCTTCGCTCGCAAACACGCCGATGATGTACAGGCTTCTTTTCTGGCTAATAAAGCTGCAGTCAGGGGGAATGTCAGCAGCGGCGTCGAGGCTGATGAAAGGCGGCGTAAACACGCGCGCACATACTCCGACACACACAAACACACTTGAGTCAGAAAAGCACGAGCTCAACTTGTGAAAATACCGCACAGGCTGTCAAATGCTCACATGGTTTTAGAACTTCAACGTCATATGGAGGATTGCGTCAAAAAAGGTTGTTATCGAACCAGATGTATTCTTTGCATATTTTTTTTTCCACAATTTAGAGCCATTTTCCAAGTGACATTCTCTTGTCAAAATACATAAGGGATAAAGAATTACACCGCACTTCATATCGTCTGTTTCAAATCACTCAGTTTGGAGCTGTCAGTTCTGCCGTGTGCAAGTTTAGAGTACAGCTTTTGATACCTTGTTGTGGGGGAGCTATGGCGTTGCGACGAACAGCTACTCAGTCCTGCCAACTTCCGACCGCTCTCACAACTGCTTCTCAAAAAAGCAAATCTTCCAATTTCTTGTGATAAGTCCAGACTTCAAATGAATGACACTTTGGGCAAAACCACAACTGATTTCAACACAGGGGACTTTCCTGACGTAAGCCATGTAGCTGTTCTCAATACACAAGGTGTAATTCTCTTTGTTTTATGTTTAGTTTGACAGTAAACTTCAACTGGTGGTGGCAATAAGCAGTTTGAAGCCTCGTTTGGGTCAAATGGGTCACGATCTGCCCAACTGCTGCTTGGACAACCCCCGTTGGGATTGGATTTAATTTCCCACATGGAGGTAGTATTTCTTCACCAAGCCACTGAATTACACTTTACGAATTGGTCTCGTAGATCCACGCATGCGGTGCATGCAGCAGACGCATCAACAAACTCCAATGCGAAACATTGTCATAACCCAACGTGGCGGAAATGGTTGCTCACAAACGTATTTTCAGTCGTCGGCAGATAACAGAAGATGACCCTGGCGGTTTCGTTTCACACCGTTGGAACAATATATGGCCGAGTCATTATGATCCGAAAAAAAAATACTTCCCTTTTCGTCTTAATGCGGCTTGTAGTAGAAACGGCAACTTAATAGGGAGGGGCACTTTATGATATCGATTGTTTTCCAATTTTAAGCAGCCTAACTTTTTCCAAACAGCGTGCAAATGCATACTGCATATATATGTGCGCAAAACAGGGTGGGCGTTGTACAGTTCAACTTCATCACACCATGTGCAGCAATGCATCTTTCGGCGTAATATCACAGTGAGCCACGACGCAAGACGTGCAGCCGACGCAAATAAGCTCGCTTTATTTCAAAGGAGACGCCGACTATTCCTTTTTAAAAGCCTCTTTCCTCGATCGTGGGGGACAAAAGAATCACACAACAAACAGATGTTGGCGTCCCCTTACTGGTTCGCAGACATTCCGTGATCGCTTGCAACGTGCCCACCAGATTTATGACCCCAAAAAGGCACACTCTAACATCGAGAATCAGAATCGGGGATACAGAAGGAGTCTATTTCTATCCCTGCAAGGCACCGTCGGCACTCGTGTACCACAGAGGACTAATTATCCAGTGTCCAAAATTGTCGAGGTATGCTGCAGGTGTCGCATGTACGGTACAGCCTCCACCAACGTATCCCTCAGGGCTAATTACTGGAGTGCGGGCTAACTACTTGTACTTTTTCTATGGGTCAGAAATACTGTAGCTAGTATAATTGTCAAGCGTAAAAGTAGAACCAGTCTATTTACAAGACATTATACCCTTAAAAGTACCGTCTTCACGCATGTACCACTTTGGACGAATCCAAGGAAACTCTTTTGTCACCTTTCCCAGCCTAAGAATGTTCCCAAATTGTAGATTACAAAGCAGAACTCCTCCAAGTGCACAGTGCAAGTGGCACATTGTCCAACGTTAGGCGCAAAAGGAACGAGGTACACTCACATATCCCCACGGGCTGATTATTGGACTCCAAAGTAACTTTGTGCCAGCAATATGTTCTCAAAACGTAACAGTCAAGTGTTGTAAAGTCGTATTTGTTCACGGTACCACATTAGCAAAGTACAGCCGACACTTGAGTATCCCTTCGGGTTAATTATTGCGCTCGACAGGTTTCAAGCAGTTTTCTCCCAAGTTGTAAAAGTCAAATGTCAGATCACAAATGGTTCACGGTACCAACCTTCCCCTCAACGGCCAGCGTTGTACCCATTCAGGTTAATTACTGGACTCCAAGGTTACTTTGTCTAGCCAGGATATTCCCAAAGCGTGAAAAAAAAAGATTGTTCATATATTCAGGGTGTAATTGTTCAGGGTAGTTTGCATGTTCTCCCCATGACTGTGTGGGTTTTCTCCGGGTACTCCGGTTTCCTCCCACATTCCAAAAACATGCACGGCAGGTTCACGGAACACTCTAAATTGTCCCGAGGTGTGACTGTGAGAGCAGATGGTTGTTTGTCTATGTGTGCTTCAATTGGTTGGCAACCAGTTCGGGGTGTCCCCCGCCTACTGCCCAAAAACGGCTGGGATAGGCTCCGGCACGGCCGCGACCCTCGTGAGGATAGAGCGGATTAGAAAATGGATGGGTGGATGGATGGATCTGCAAGATCTTAAACTCCAATCTAAAGAAAACTCTTTGTCCGGTTTCAAAGCAGAGCAGCTCTTCAATAATGGCCCTCAAGTCAAAAAGGTCAAGTGTCAAAGCAGAGCTTTGCAGGTACCAAGACATTGTATCCCTCAATGTCAAAGCTCCACGACTGTGTCCCTGAGGACTACTATTGGGCTCCAAGGTCACTTTGTCCAGGAGCTACGTTCCTGAACTGGAAAACCTTTTCAGGTTACCACCCTCGTGAAGAGACAATGCAGCCTACGCTAATGTATGTCCTTAAGTGAGAAAAAAAAGTCATGTCGAAGCAGAACTTGATAGTTACGAGACAAAATTCAAAACCAATGGACCCTGTACTTTCACCGTTTCTACTCGAATGTACATCACGGCAGAACCATTTTGGCGAGCCCCCGAGTCACAACCTTTGTAGCCTCAAGGGTCCGGTGTACAACTCACCGATACCAGTCCAGACCCTTCTCGTAGTTCCTGTCGAAGAAGTGCGGCTCGTTGCCGACGGCCCGGACGTCCGGATGCACCCTGAGCGCCTCCAGCAGGGCTCGGGTTCCCCCTTTCTTCACCCCGATAATGATGGCTTGCGGCAGCTTCTTCTCTCCGTAATCCGAGGTGCAGTTGACCTGCAGGTCGCCCTCCGTGGCCGCCCGGAGGGCGGTCGACTCGGTGGCGGACGCCCGCTGCGTCCCTGTCCAGGCATGATCCCCGCCCTCCTCCCGGTCCACGATGGAGACCGCCGTGCTCCTGCGGCCGAACTGAGCCTCGGCAAAGCCGGCCGAGGTGGAGTAAAGTTGGTCCCTCACCAGCGTGGTTTCTTCGGTGCCGGCCGACCGAGCCTGGTAGGCGAAGTTGTCCTGCAGCGGGAACTGCAGCGAGTTGTAACAGCTCATCAAGCTGTAGAACAAGTAGGTGACGGACAGGGAGAGGGTGAACATGAACAAGATCTTCCGGGGCACTTTAGAGGCGACAGTGCCGGACCAGAATGCCATCTCTGACAACGGGGGTCCTCTCAGGGAAGTGGCCAGACATGTTTCCACTGCAGGTCTTGCATGGACAAAAAAAAAAAAAAAGAAAAGAAAAAAGAGGAAATCAGCAAGAATCAGTCCCTGCTGCAGCTTCTGCTGCTTAAAAAAAGAAAGAGAGGCGTGAAGCTGGACCGAGCAGAGTCAAACGCGCCGAATTGCATATTCATAAGGGGGAATCATTAAAATTCCAAGTCCTCCCCACTTTTTTTTTTCTCCTTCTCTCTTTTGAGGATCGATTAGTTGATGCTTGACAATGTCAGAATTCATCGGCGCCAACTTGCGAGGTTCCGGTGATGCTGGCGTCCTTCCAAATGAGAGAGTGGACGCACGCGCGTTCGCAAAGGGGAAAAAAAAAAAAGGAAAGGAAAGAAAGAGAGTGACGAAGTGATGCTGGTCAAGTGCGCATCTCATCCGTCCACCACCGAACAGCTGATCCGCCCAATAAGCTCGTCACAGTCATCATCCTTCCTCCGGCGGTGGCGGTGGGATTGTTGCCACTTAGGGGGGGAGAGCATCACAAAAAAAAGTCAAAGGAGGAGGTGCGAAACACATCCGCGCTTTCTCGCCGCCGAGGCATCTGTGGAAGCGCGCGCAGTCCGCGGTGTGAGCTCGCTCACTCGCTCGCTCCTCACTCGCGCGCGTGTGAACGCACGCCTTCGTTTTTAGTTTGGGGGAGGGGGCGATCACCCCCGTGTTGTTCCCATGACATCAATATCATTAAGCAGCCTCGCGCCCCCCCCCCCCACTTCCATAAAAGACCAGAGTTTATTTTATAATTATTTTTTGAAATCTCCTTCACATTATTGTGCACAGTAGCTCATGTCTGCACCCTGCTGGTGTCCCCTTGAAGCACTCGAACGCACGGAGAGCAGCCGACGCGCACGCTTGATGATGCGGCGCAACAGTTCTGCATGGACACCATGAAGAGGATGTTTATTGCATCAAGTAGAAGGAGTGAAAGCAAGTAGAAGGAGTGAAAGGGACTTTAAACGCTTTCAGGGACAGCGGTCACGACAGCGGACAGCTTATCATGTTATCCGGTTACACGGTGCATGAAGGGGTTAAGAAGAGCATTTCGAAATGTCTTGCGTGCAGTGGAAGTGACTTGTCTGGTGGTGAGAATGCTGTCAGGTATGTCTTTTCAACCTATAAAGTAGAAAAAAAAAGACTACTTACAATAGCGATCTGGACCTTTCTGTGCACCCTGCTTATCTGTCAAACCTGTGCTGGAATCTTCCATCACGCTGCTGTGTGCTGTCAAGCCAGCCAGCTATCAGTCGGTAACCAACGCTAGCTGCTGCGCTAACAAGAAGCAGGGTGCTAGCGTGCCACGAGGGCCTGAAAGAAATCACAAAAATATGTAGATAAGTTGGTACTTTTGCAAATGACGATTGGCTGTAGTGTACTGTGTACTCTGAAGACACTCATGACAGGGCAAAAATTTGCACACGTGTCTAGAAAGTCGTTTCAATGAGTTTTGGGAGCATTAGCTTCTGATAAGCGGCATACTGTACTTGATTGCCTGCACTTCAGCAACTTAGTGAAGTGCTGCCTGCACAAGTGAAAATATAATACTGTAGATACTTTAACTCCTGTTGTGGGGGCTCCCGTGAGCACTCCCCCCCCCCTTTTTTTTTAGATGCTCAACTTAAAGTGTAGCCACACCTCGCTCTGCCCGTGGTCTTCATCGTAACAAAACACTTATTTGGCATTGGCCCGGAAGTTGGATGCAAATTCGCAATAATCCACAGACATGTTACTAATATGTCTCCTTGAATAAATATTTTGTGAGTTGCCCTCATTTGCCACAACATGAGGTCACTAGCAGTTGACCGCAATGTCTTTTTGATACGTAGCTGTCATTAGATGAATATTCGTCATTGCAAAGTCTGTTTAAACTTTGCCCAAAGGTTCAAAAGCTCTGAGCATCTTTTTTGTTGATGCTGTCTACATTCACAAGTAGACCCACGTGAGTCTGTTTTATCGTGAGTCACACAACCGAGCATTAACATTCAACTCAAGAGTACATCTCATGAGGGGATGAATTATCCATATTACACCTGGAATGAAAAACTGGTCCCCGCATTGGTCTCTGTAACTTTGGACTGTTTTCGGTTAGTCTGCCGTGACCTTCACCGAGGCTCAATGAGGCATTTGCGCTGTTCCGTTCTAGTTCCGAAAATACCGTATTGGCCCGAATATAAGACGGTGTTTTTTGCATTGAAATAAGACTGAAAAAGTGGGGGTCGTCTTATATTCGGGGTCTAGACATTATACCCATTCCCGACGCTAGGTGGCGCCAGATATCATTGAAGCGAATGCTGAACCTGACTCCCCAGGCCAAAGTGAACCCCTGTCACGAAGAATAAAAATAAAAACAGCGGTAGCACGAAGAAGAAAAATAAAAAATAGCGGTAAGAAAGAAAAGAGAAGAAAATAATGGAAGAGATAACAGAAAATGGAGAAACGTAGCGACAATCTGGAGAAAAGTGGGTCGAAGATCGGCTAGGTTAACTGGCAGCTGAGGAGAAGTTATGATGTAATTTACATTTCAAAAACCAGAAGCCATTCATTTACAAATGTGATTGCACTTTAGTTTACATATTTAAATGTTCAGATATTAAGAATTGAATGAGGCAAAATAACGTGCTTTTTCTCTCAAATATATTGTTATCATTTGTTTCAGATGTACTGTAATTATTTTCTTGTATAAAAATTAATTTGGTGTTCAAAGTCTTTTTTCAAACTTGAGTCTTGAAAAAGAGGGGGTCGTCTTATAATCAGGGCCGTCTTATATTTGGGCCAATGTAGAATGTCGCCAAATTAGTATCGGGGTGTCTCTTATCTCATTAGAATCTCAAACATTTCTCATGATGATTTTTCCTCGCTCATTGTCAGGATATGGTAAATGCCACTGCCAGAGCTTTTTATTCTCCACTTTTCCAAAGCGAAGAGGCCAACCGCCGCCGGTGTGCCACTTGGGGACGAAGCTCGACTGGCGGCGCGGAGGCATGGAGGTTAAACACCGGCCGCCATCCCGCACGTCACCTGCCAAGACTTGGCTGAAGCGACACGGCGATGAGGCGGGGGCGTCGCGGGAGACGCATTTTTTTTTTTTTTTTTTTTTGCTTGCCTCAACCCCCAAAGACTGCGAGACAATTCTTGTCAAAAACCCTCTCGGGTGGACCCGCACAATTTCTCGCGCTGTCGCGGTGAAACACGTCAGACTGCCGGCACCTTGGCAGCATATTCACAAGGCGATGCTCAGCGCTGCCGCCTTGATATTCGGGTCTCCTCGCGGAAAACGACCCCGGTGGTCAACTCTGTCTTGTGCAGAGACGGCGGCGGGGGCTGAGATGAGCGCGGAGAGGCATCCGGGGTGTTACGTTCCTCTACCTCAGTGTAATTGAAGCGTGCAGCTCTGTTTAAAGCTGACAGCAGCAGTTATGGCCGATCCGCCAGCTCTTTGACAGAGGATGTCTGCTAATAGAATGAGGCAGAGGAATGGGATCATGATTTTCCTCATCACACCCCAAGAGAAATGAATGACATGCTGAGGAGATGACCCTTTTAGAGAAGGTACACAATCAATTATTGATCACTGCGGCGCCTTGAGGTACGAGTGATGCGGCTTTGACGTGCGGGCGCGCATTTTGAGCCGCTGGCAGTCAACTCGACGCGCTTCGCAACAAGCAGCAGTTTGGCAGACAGTGAACTATTCTTTGAAAAGGGAGGCCCCAGGCTGTTCGTTGCCACGCCACGCTATTCACTGCAAATCTCAGCGACTGTATTCACAAGTTTGGTGCACTTTCCATTCCTTACACTGTAAGATTCCAAAACATGGTGCCAGAGCCATGGCTAATAGGAAAGACGTAATGGGTGTCACGGAAATATGTTGATATATGTCGACTGAGAGGCATAGGGGCTATGTTTAGCCTGGGTCGTAAGTGGAACATGGAAAGGTATTCAATGGGAAGAAAGTACGTGTGAGATCCAATGCAAGAGCACCATTTAATTTTTTATTTTTTGGGTACAGCTATACTATCGGATCTCATTGAATTGTTCAGGTGTGCCTCATGAGGTGCCCACTGCAAAATATTATTCAATCAAAAGTGCGTCTTTGTTCAAGAATGCCCACATTGTTCAGGATTATTGTCATCATTCTCCAATTAGCTGATGTTGGTTTTGCTGTTCTCGTCGTCGCAGTTCTTTTTCGAATGTCACCCCTGTGACTCCTCCCCCTTCATCCCCCGCAACACTTCGCCCCAACCACTGCGCCGAGCCGCGTCGATGTCGAGGTGCGGTGATGGATCCCGTTCTTTCCGCCGATCAATAATCCCGCTTCCCCGCAGTGTTGACCGGCCTGCCGCGCGGGGCCGCTAATTAGATGATAAAAGTGATGGATGTGGATGAAATTCAGTTGCCAACTGCCTTCACGTTGATTCCTTTGGGCTTCGTCCCATTTCCTGTTGACCTTTTGGATGCTAACTTTATAATCGGACGCGGATGACCATTGACAGTTGATCTGATCAGGATGCAGCAATCCGACCCGTGACGTTGTTCAGACAAATGTGGTTGTTGGGGCAAAAAAAGATACACTCTGTTTGATGGAATTGAAGTACAGATACGTGTTTTTAAAAATGGTCAAATCAAAAGTACTGGTTCATCCACATATAAAAGTAAACGGTACAAAGTCCTGCAAAAATGTTTTTTTACTGTCACCTACAAAAACAAAAACCATGCAGTATTTGCTCTTTACCTTTCTTGTGGATATGTGTGCACACTCACTGTCAACAACGAGGCGCTCTAAAGCAGCCATCCCAGCAAAATATCCAATGGGAGGATGGATTTTCACGGTGTAACCATAGCTAGCTACCTGCATGTTGCAATCGGGCAACTGTGAGGCAAATGTATGTCCATTTAAAATAACAAAAATAAATGTTAAAATCTGGGGTAGGAAGGGTGAAAAACCATTTCACACTCAAAAGGGTTTTTGCTCGTTTACAGCAGTCGTCTTCAAACGTGTATAATGTATTTAGAAACAAATCTCTGAATTCACTTTAACTGCTTTGTGTCAGCCAAATTAGCTAATGATAAAAATTGGAAAATATACACCATCCCTCTATCATCACCCCCCCCCCCCCCCCCCCCCACCGGCACTGGTAGAAGCTGGTGCTTTTTTTTGGCCGGCACAAGATGCAACGCATTCCTCCCAATTTCATTGCATCATCGACATTCGTGCTTGCGAGTGTGCCTCTTTGTTCCACCTGACAAGTCCCGATGATTTCAATCAATCAAGATCTTAACCAGAGTTGACGGTACTCCACTCTGTGAAAGTCTTTTTTTTTCCCCCCCCACATTGTGTCATCATTCGCGGAGGTTGGAAAAAGTAACATATCTGTTTCGACAAAGTCAAGAGATGTGTTTTATCTCGCCTGAACCCTTAAGGGCCACACATTGTAATTTTGCAGCATCACTTTCGGCTTTCCTCAAAAAAAAAGAAAATCTGTACTTTTAAAAAAAAAAAATCATATTCAATGCGTCTTGTTCAGCCTTCCATTGTTAGATTTTGAACCAAGGTCAACATTGAAAAAAATAAAGACGTGATTTCTGATTGCAGTATGTGACACGATCAGTAGCAATATTTGATGAAGTACCATTACGAAGGATTTGTACTCTGCTACTTCCCACCATTCACATGACACACACTAGCAAGTTTTTGTGAAGATGACTGGATGGAGCGAGTCTTTTAGCTTTCAGATGAGTTGTCAAAGTTGTCCATCAAGACAGCTCAAGCATTTCCCCGTCCTCAAACCGAAATAAGACTCCAGTCCAAAAGCAACCGAGAATGTAAAATCCATCCCAAACATCATGATTTTTTTTTTTTTTTTTTTTTGTAGCTCTCAAAAATCCTCTTCTTTGAGTTGTTAAGTTAGTTTGAGAAGCATGTGGGTGCTTTGCCACATATTTAGTCCCGTTCTCCGTATGTTGTGTTGAACCATCTTCAGGGTGTTGACGTTTGACTGATGCAACAAACGGCCAACTGTGCGCTCTTTCCTTCCTAATGGGCCCCAATTAGCGCAGCGCTAGAGACGCTCATCCGGAAGAAGCTTCGTCACGAGAGGCTGCGCTTTTTCTTCAGTTCACTTTGCTCTACATTTCTTCCAACTAGAAGGTATGCGATCCGCTAGGAGTTCTATGGCGGACGTTCTTTTTGCCCTTTGAACGGGTTTGTGAAATCATTTCTCCCCCAGGCGGGATTGGTGGCGTTTGAGGACACCGCCAAGGGGACGGGGTAGAAGTTGGGGGTAGGTGGTACCATCCACTGTCCTCTTGAGCCTACAGATGTTCCCAGGTGTGGCCGTAGCGTGCGATCTCGCTCCGGGATCATCCATCAAGTGGATCAGCGGCAAGATTAATGCGCACTTGATGCAGCGCGCCAATGGATCGGCTTGCTGAGATCATTAGCGCCGGCCTCCTTGTGACTGGAAAGGGGGGTGGGTTGGGGGGGGGGGTTGTAAGCTTTGTATGCTAAATGAATCATTGTCTAATTAAGGGATGATGGCAGACACTCGTGTCCACGTCGGCGATCGGGTAAACCGTAACTGAAGGGCAAACTAAATAGATGAGCTCCACCTGCTCCACATTCTCATCCGAAAGTCTTGGAACAGTCGGGCCAATTCCTTTGTTTTTGCCGTCAACGGAAAACATCGATCGGTTTGATATAAAGAGCAATTGAGATCAAAGCAATCGCTTGGATCAACACGAAGGCTGTTTGTTGCTAGGCAGAGTTCGTAGGGCTCGAGTTGATATACAGTCATACCTCGGTTTTCGACAATAATCCGTTCCAGAAAGCTTTTCGAAAACCGATTTGTTCGAAAACCGAAACCACGCTCTTTTTTTAAAAAAAAAAAATCTTTATTGAACACGTCTGCTCACAATGGAACGCTAAACGAGGAAGCGTCACTTCCTCGTGTAAGGAAGCCAAGAGGAGTCAAGTGGCGCATTCAAGTGCGCTCAGTTTGGTCGAGAATCCATTTTCGGTCCTAATCCGAGGCATAAAAAACTCAATTTTTGGTCAAAAACTGGTCGAGAACAGAGACGTTCCAAAACCCGAGGTTTGACTGTACCATATGGCCAGTGAACAAACGGCCGTGCTCCCATCTTCAGTCGGTTAAATGCGTGCCCTCTTTGCGTCTAAGTCTGGGGATTGACTTGGCCTGTGGAATAAAAATGTTCACTCTCACAATTGTTTTTCATCCATACGAGCAAGGGTCTCCGGTTTCCATGTTAGTTATGTCATCGCTTTTAACTCCCAAATGGGAGTCTACTGACAGTAGACATTCAGCGCTATCGATCATTTGAAAATGGCACAGCGTGAGGTTGAACCGGTCGCTTCGGTTACCAAAAATAGTTCCTCACTTTATATATGGAGCTGACCTTTCGATGAACGGCTTTCCTTTCAAGGCTTCTCCTCCAAAGTATTTCCACTCTTCACGGATGAGAGGATGCGTTTTAAAATGCTGGCCGTGTTCTTAAAAGATAAAAAGAGTTCGACGTCTGAGGGCGGGGAGCTTAATGGCGCACGCGAGGGGGGGGGGCGCGGAGAAGAAGAAGAAGAAGAGCAGAACACACGCGGTGAATGAATGAATGAAAATCGGGAAAATGTGTTTTTCACAACAAGTATGAAGTTACTTCCGGACTTGAGATGTAATCCAATGTCAAAAACTCCACAAGGACACCAGATGCATCTTCACTGTTTTTCCGCCCAAGAGTGAAGTGGGAAAATGGGAGTCATGTTGGGGATAAATGCACCCGAGGGAGAAGCCCAATGTGTTTTTGTCGTTTGTTTTCGGGCTTTTTTTTTTCCTCTTCCCACCTCATCTGAAGGTGGCAATAAACACTGAACCCCTCTTGTTTCTTTCTGACATGTGACACAGCAAACGTGTGCAAGTAAATCCCAGCGCCGCAGAGCAAGAAAACCCAGGCCGCGAAAGAGAAAGTCTCTCCGCTGGCTGAATCAGGTGCGCAACGGCAGACGGCTGCCACCGCCAATGCTGATGATATTTTCCATGTCATTGCGCCATTGTTTGTCTTTCCCGCCGTCTGTGCCAAATTTTGTGTTTCGTTCGGGATGACTAATCACCTGCCTTTGATTCATACTTAATCCCACTTTATCGCCGATGTGAGCCCCTCTTGTTTATCGTTAAGAGACGCACTCGTTATTTATGCTGCTCAACAGAGTCGCAACAGGCTGAAAATATCCAAAATGGCTCCAATCCTTCAGATGAAATATGTTAATCTAGACAAGGTGACACAATGGGAACCATAAATGAACGATTTAATCAGCAGCAGTCATCTGGGGTCCAAGTTGACATTTTGTGTTCAGCTTGACGTGTTGAATTAAATCAGTCGCTGGATTTGGCTGCTTCAAACCAAAATGGCAAACTTCCTGTTTAATTTGAGTTCTTTGCGACTTTTTCGGCCTTCTTTTGTGATCGCCGCATCCATCCAATTTCATGTGAAATGTTGAAACTGGTATTTGGGGCTTTATTATTTTTGGGAAAAAAAAATGTGTCCGCATCATCAGTTTCAGTGAACCAACATGAGCCTGTGTGGGAATGTCAATTCTAATCTGCGCCAAAAAGTCACGAGGACCTTTGAACAGGAAGTCTGCCGTTTTGCTTGGAAGCAGTCATTTTGGGAGAGTACCAGAGCTCTTACTTTGACGAACTCTGACGGGGGAATTCGCCTGGATAGAAGCAGGTGTCTTACACAGATGGGGAATGCTGAATTGCCAAGCTTTTTTTTTTTTAACCTACGCAATCAAATGTAGGCAGGGCGAGACATCAGAGTGTGATCTTCGGGACTCGTCGCGATGAAAAAGGCATTCAAGGACCCTTTCGTTCTTGTTTTGTTTTATTTATTTTATTTATTGATTTATTTTTGTCGCAAGATTGTCCAAAAATCTTTCACACATGAATAAGGGTAATAGTTTATCCCAATCTGACTGGCCTATCGAACAAATAATTTCCATGTGCCTGGAGCAGGGCAAAAAAAAAGAAAAAAAAAAAAAGATTTACATATGTATGAGACTTCGAATGCAAAGGCCTTTCTCCAGCAGCACTATTAAGGGAGTTCTCCGTTGGCTGCACACGCTTGGCGAACTGTATGGCATTCTAATCTGGTCATTTGAGGGGCGCGCACACACACACACACACACACACACACACACGAATACGAGATAGGAGACCGTGCGGATCATCTGCTGCAGCAGAGGAAGTGATCTGTTTGCCAAACACTTGAAAGTCAACTGGAAGCACATTGCCTCTGCCACTAATAATCAACGTAAAGTAATCCGATCGCTCTGTGGCTTCTACTTGTTGTTTTCTACCTTAAAAATGAGTTTGGCCTATGGTCAAAAGCATATCAGCAGCCAGAGGCTGAGCTTCATTGTGTTTGTTCACAGTATAGATGGATGACTCGAGTCCCCACCCACCGGCCCTGAACTCATGTGTCCAGTACCCGAACCTTCGAATACATAAACAGTAATAATGCCTTGCGTACGTCCCGAATGTTTTTCCTTAACGCCGCTCCAAATCAAGAATTGGCATTCGGGGCTGACGAAAGATTGCCCTCACCCTTGCGCGGCACCACTTCACTGCAATGACAGCCGTCCTGTCAATCAACACCCAGCGAGGAGACGTGCACCTCCGTCAATCAGGGCCAGGAGAACTTTTGAGGGTTTGTTTTTTTCTTATCCGGTCCTGCTGCAAACAATTGCAAAGTTTTTCGTTCTCGACTCATAACGCGTTATGTACGGTATGGAGAAGCGCAAAAAAAATGTCTTTGTGACCACCTGGCTTTGTCCGTCTGTTGCATGGAGGAAGGTGAAAAACAGCTCTGAAAAACAGCTCTGAGGCCCGCTCTTGGCCAAACCTTCGAGATGTCGAATTGTCTGTCGGACATCTTTGCAAAGACAAAAAAAACCCGCACAAGTCATTTTGTCCTTAACCCTTTTAGGGACAGCGGCCATGACAGTGGACAGCCTATCATGTGATCAGGTTACAGGTTGTCATTATTGGTGCATGAAAGGGAATGTGGCGTTGACTTATCAGTCATAATGAAAAAAATGGGAAGGCGGCGCGTTGACAGCATCGACACTTTTTTTCCTTCTCCTCGCCGTCCCAAGTTTCAGAAAAGAAGCAAAGTCATTTATGATTATCGGAATCACTGAGCGGATCGGGGAAGAAATAATGTCTCAACACACCCTCCACCGCAGGATAATCGCTCAGAATAACCTTTTCGAGGCATCCGTCAACCGGCCCCATTTGACAAATGGCGTAATTGAGACTCAAATTGACCCGATTATCGGTGCTCACTTTAGAGCCTTCCGATAATCGGGTCTTTGTCGAATTTGATCGGAGCGGGTGAAAAATGCTCCAATTTGCTTTGGCAAACCTGAAACATACTTAATGGAGTCATTAAAAAAAAAAAAAAAAAGTATTCTTCTGTCATTTAGAGGCAAAAGCCATTCAGTCTCGACTGACTTTTATGGACCGTTCGAGGTCTTTCTCTTGGTAAAAGCTGCAGAGATGTTACATTTTATAGTCGTTCACGCTGCGCCGAGCGTCTGATGTGCTCAGCCGCCAATTTGTTTATGTCTCGCAGACAGCGTGTGTGTGATTTATCGTCGGACCGGTTGGGGGGATCCGTCAACCGGCCCCATTTGACAAATGGCGTAATTGAGACTCAAATTGACCCGATTATCGGTGCTCACTTTAGAGCCTTCCGATAATCGGGTCTTTGTCGAATTTGATCGGAGCGGGTGAAAAATGCTCCAATTTGCTTTGGCAAACCTGAAACATACTTAAGGGGTCATTTAAAAAAAAAAAAAAAAAGTATTCTTCTGTCATTTAGAGGCAAAAGCCATTCAGTCTCGACTGACTTTTATGGACCGTTCGAGGTCTTTCTCTTGGTAAAAGCTGCAGAGATGTTACATTTTATAGTCGTTCACGCTGCGCCGAGCGTCTGATGTGCTCAGCCGCCAATTTGTTTATGTCTCGCAGACAGCGTGTGTGTGATTTATCGTCGGACCGGTTGGGGGGCGGAAGCAGAGGAGGCCCTTGTGTTCCTCCTCTACTTCTCGCTCTCTCTCGCTCGCGCGCGCCGCAACGTTCACCCAGATATGCAGCCTCGGGCGAACGTGCCTTTCATTATTTCTTTTGAAACTTTCATCTAAAGTCTCTGAGGGATTAGCCCTCTTGATTCCTGACACAGTCGATGAAAAACAAGCCTCATATACAGGGAGGCTCACAGCCGGAAAAGCCACGCTGTGCCCCCCCCCCCCACACACACATACCCACCCACCTCTCCTCCTACCCACTCGGCGCGCAGTGTGAACACGCACGATGGCTTACACAAGTGGGCGCCTCCCCGACCCTCCACCGCCACCGCCCCCCTCCCTCATTTTTGAACACATTGGCTTATTCAGATTTGACTTGTCGGCGATATCAAGCAATGCCGCGGTAACAAACAAGGATTGCTTTCCATTTAGGATGCAATCTTACACCTTGTTCCTATGGAAACGTCCTCGAGAATAAAGCTGAACAATCCGAGGGGGATTCAATTCGAGAGCGCAATGGAAAATGCTGCCTTTAGAAAGGTAATAATGCTCGCCGTTAATTGACGCAGCCATCAAGTATGAAGTAGCGAGGGGCGTACTGGCCGAAAAGAAAAATCCATTCAATCGTGGTTGCCAATTTTCTTGTCATTACAGTTCGCTTGCATTGATGTAACACTCGCCACGTGTGCCGCGATGCGGCGACTCCCAACCAGGTGTGCTGTGAAAGATCATTAGCGCCACGAGAAATTGTCCAATTTCGCTACATTTGTACGATTACAAACACAGCGGCGCCTTGAGATACAAATTGAATTTGCTCCGTGACCACACGCAAATTTCAAAACCAATCTTGCCCAAGTGAAATAGACGGAAAAGCAATTCATGAATTCCAGCCAACCCACTGCGACAAAAAAAAAAAAAAATTAAAAAACACACCAAAAAATTGTATTTTAACACGTTTTTTGTTTTAGAAAAAAATGCATTCCGCAGTAGTGTGGTGCAGTGGTCCCCAAGCCCCGGGTCATTTGGTGCCAGGCCGCACAGAAAGAATAAATAACTTGCATTACTTCTGTTTTATTAATTTCGGAATCAGAAAGATGTTTTATTTTGAAAGATTACCGGATTCTCTGTTACATCCGTCTACAGTATGTCACTCTTGACGCAATTGAAGGCGGTGCTTCTCGGTCACGTGATAGGTTATTGCTAAAATGAAACCCAGGAGCTAGCAAGCCCACTCTGTGAGTCGTATTTTTCATGCACTTTTTATTTGCGGTGTATCTTATTTTGAAGGCAGGTTTAAACGTTACCATAGTGACCGGACAGCATTGCGTCCAGATCGGACGTTCCTCGTGTCATGATTCGTGTTTATTATTATGTTACGACAATACCAAAGTTTTCATGCAGGTCATATTATTTTGTTGTATTTCTGAGATTAAACCGGTCCGTGGGGCAAAAAATGTCAGGGGCCGCTGGTGTAGTGTATAAAAACACAGCAAAAAAAATTGTTGTCCACATCACTTGCAAACACGGAAAACGTGCGCACAAAACACTACCCCGTGTATCGTTCGACATGTGACCGCTCGGATGTTGTCCAATCAATTAAAAATATAAAAGTCGCGATCAACTTACCTGACGACCTGAATGAGCACGCTGACGGCGGTGTTTTTTCCAAGCCTGTTGCAGGCTGCGCATGGAAGCACTCGTCCAGATGTGAAAAGGAAGCGACACGTCCACACGGACAAGAAATATGTTGCCGGTTGCTACGATGCGATAAGCGCCAGATGCGGGTCAAGTTTATCCATTCCGTCCCCAGATAACGATTCCGCTGCTGGTTTTTCTCTATCTCATCTATCGCCCAGGTGTGACAGAAAATGTAGTTGCGATGAAAACTTACATTGTGGCTTTGTCATAGCATACACTGGCTATGCCTAAATGATGAGCTGCAATGTGAGAAAACGATTTTATCACTTGGAAAAATGTGGGGGGGTTTTTTCACCATAGGACATAATGCCAAAGGGATATCATTTTTAAAACTGTACAGGTAGTGTGTTTGGTGATATACAAGTGTAAAAAGATTTTAATCAATGATAGTAAATACAAAAACACTTCCTGAACATTAACAAGTGAGAAGTGTAAAGTGATGCTGAATGCTTTTGCTGATGGGAATCAAATAAGCAATGCTAGTAACAAATGTGATTTTTTTTTTTTGGGGGGGGGGGGGGATTTTGTGGATCCATAAATGAAAGATAACCCTCAGCGAACATGTAACACTCATACGTCCATTTAAATACATTGGGCCCCCAAACGACAGCGAACAAAACAAGAACGCCATTCTGCAGGCGCCTGAAGGTCACCCGGAGACTTTTTTTTTTTTTTTATCCATTCCTGCCACGTTTTGAATGAAAAGCGACCCGCGTCCCCGCTCCATCAATTCACGAGACTCTCAGCCTTACTGCTCGGCCTTATCTTCCCGCCGCAAGAGCACAGAAAATGTGTCATTTGACAGAAAAATGGGATGAAAGCGTCTGAACGTAGCCATCCAAAGAACCCACAGTCGAATATATCATCTTTTTAAGAGCTAATTGCTTAATAATTCCGGCGCTCTGCTTATGACGGGTCCAGTTATATGCCTGATTGTTCCCAGTCAAAAAAAAAGAGAAAAATGGTAAAAGCAAAGATTTTGATTAAAGATGACTTTCAACTGCTTTGGCTGCAGGTGTGCGTTTGGGAGCTGAATCAACCCCCATCTGGGACGCAGTAATTAACAAGCATGATCAGTTTTATTTTTAACAACAAGAAACAAGACAATCATCTCAACTTGTCCTCCTTTTATCACAGCGCACGAGGAGATTTTTTGGGATGCTTTGGCAGCAATCTTTGTGTCTGATGTGTTCCATCACATCGGCCCCGCGTTACATCACCTTTTAAAAAGCAGTTAGGAACTACTGGTGTCAGGATAAAATGAAATCAAAATCAAACTGCGGGCAAACTTTTCATGTTGAATTCTCAAAATGATCATCAAACGTTTGTCTCCTTGCTCGGCGCTCATTAGATGGCATGGACAAAAAAAAAAAAAGCTTTATCTCCACACCCGCTTACAATTTGAGCTCATTCGGGCAAGCCCACAAAATGGCTGCCTCAAACCAAAATGGCGGACTTCCATTGATGTCCATCAGTGAAACTGTTATTTTTTTTTTCAAATGTATTACTAAACTCATTGAGACTGCCTGTAAGCAGTTATATTTTGCTGGAGCTACCTGCTACACTGAAAAATCACTGAATTAAATGTCTAAACTGTCCCATTTTCATTCAGGAGTACAGACCAGTGGAAAACTATGGTGGCTTCAAAGGGCCAAAAGGGCACCATTATTTCCTATTGGAAGCGCTACACGTCCTTGTGTTTAGGATACCCTGTTTGTCACGGCCTGTAGAAAGTTATGATAATCAAAAATGTACAATCGTGGCCTCGGTCTACTGGTTCGGGGATAGAATTACATGACTTGATGACAACTTCTCTAATACTTCCATGTCATCCAGTTTGTCAAACTGCATTTTATAAAAGGCAGCCGTGTGTTTTCTGATTAAATTTACAGCTGCAGTAAAAAGTGACCGACCAGAGTCCGCCGGCCATCTGGACGCGCTGCATTAACGCATCGTTTTGAGCGCGTGATGGACGTGTCTGGAGCCCATCCCATGCAGATGTTCGCATGGCGTTGACCAGCAAGGACGTTGGCGGAGGAGGCGACCAATACTAGTCTGACGTCCAGCTTTCATGTGTGTAAATCATTCATCGGGAAGGCTGTCAAGCGTGATGACACCGCTACGGTGACCGCTCGCCGCGGTGACGTACGTCTTCATCAGGAAACGAACGGTGGGAAGTCTCTGCCATGGCGCCTTGTAATTGTCATCGTGATGCTGTAGGCCAAATCTGATTGCAGCGGCTTTACATCATGCCGCAATGTGGCGCAAGCTTTTATCATCATAAGCACACAGTGGCCCTACTATGACTGGATACTTTTTCCTCTCAAGGCTATTATATTAATACACGTGAAAGAAAACAACATTGACACCGTGCGGTAAAACGCAGGGTGACGAATATTCCGCCAGACAGACGCAATTTGATGTAATAATGTCGCTTCGGGCTTGCTGACTCGCTTGCTTTTAGTGAACAATCAAATCAATTGTGTGTGGGTAAGCCGCACTATTTACCAGCGGTATTAGCTGTTCAAAGGATGACGTCGTGTAAATGGCAAATCTTTGTTCGCACTTGGATTCGACTTTCGGGTGACATTTTTGGGATGAACCTAAAATGCACTCTAAGCTTACAGGTAGAGCTGTCGAAATGTTTTCTTTTCATATAGGACATCTTTCCAACCAAACCAGAATTTACACACACACACACACACACACACACACACACACACACACACACGATGGTATCAGCCAGGGATGTCAAACTCATTTCACATTGTGGGCCACATACGGCCTCGGTAGATGTCAAGTTGGCCGGACCATTAAAATTATATCATACTCTGCTATAAATAGCCAAAATAATATGTCTCTCCTTTGTTTTGGTCTAAAGAAGCACAAGAACATTGAGAAAAATGTTGAAATTTAATGAACATATCTTTTCCAAACCATTTCATGAAGCGCCATAGATTTCCTTCGACAAATGTGCAATTTACTTTTATCATTCACATATGTGCATTGCAACTGATTGTAAAAAGGCACAAAACTTTAACAAATAATTGGTATTGAAAAATATAGTAATGCACTTTAAGATTAAATGAGATTTATAAAGAAAGGAATTTTTCAACCATTTACACGTGCATATAAAATCCAAATTTAATCCCTGCCTACACTTTACAAACTAAGGAGAGGGCTATTAAATGTGTAAAGAAGACAGTACAGTTTTCACATGTTCTTGATAGCGTCTGCTGTGTTGGGTCTGTCTCAATGACAGACTGACACTGCCGTTGTCTTCTTCTCTGATCAAAACAATGTTGTCTTCTACTCTAATCAAAACAGCGTGTCCCCTAGTGGATACTCCATAAATTGCACCTTATTAAAAATATTCATTCCTTGTCTTTTATGCATTTTTTTTACTTTTAAGTCATCCTGCGGGCCTGATCGAACCTCCTTGGGGGGGCCGGTTCCGGCCCGCAGGCCGTATGTTTGACACCCCTGGTATAAGCAATGTTATGCTGTTTAGTTTCTTCTTCACAAACTCGCCCCGTCATGTGGAATGTTGGAAATGAAGTTTGGCGCAGGTCAGGACCACCTGTTATATCTCCTAAAGCCAAGTGGCAAATGTTGCGTGCAGCGTTCCCAAATACGTTTGTCCTGTAGACACAAGGATTCTATCTTTTGACGGCAAACCTTCCCAACTAGCCTCTGAGCCAACGCGACTTGATCCACCCGGCAGATGACGAGAGATCCAGGCAAAGACGCCGGCTCATGGTTGGCGTCACCTCGTCTCCGCCGCTTAACGTCGACAAACACAGATTGAACTTGACTGTTTTGTCTGTCTCTTTTCTTTCTCCTCCCGCAGATCGACGCAAACCAGAGAGGGGTTTCGTAAGCCGGATTTCCACACAAACTTCAGATGAGTCACCGGCACCTTCGCACTCAATTTGGAGAAAAGTGTGGGATGTGACAAATCATGTAACAGGTAAAAAAAATAAAATAAAAAATAAGGAACAGAGTCATTGTGAGATTTTGAGTAGCTTTTATTTTTTTTTAAATGACTGCAGGGACTAAAAGGTAGGTGTACACACTGATGTGAAATACTCTTTTACGTTTTCAGGCCCTACAGGTTAGCTTTAAATCCCCAGCGTGTGACGCAAAGGCCGTTCCGCTTCTTATGCTCAAGTTGTGCGATGTGACTCGTGTCAGCTGTCATCTCCGGCTATCAGCGACAAAACGCCACCCATTTAGAATTCATATGATGTGGTTTTTTTTTTTTTTAATCTCATCAGTCTCTGTAGCGTCTCTGAGATGAAACGTTTGTTGGTGTCGTTTTGAGGGTCATTACGGCGTCGCCCTCAAGTAGCCCGATGAGATTCAAGTTGGCGGCGCAGTTAACACGAGGATCCCATGACAAAAGCTGAGGGAGATGACACGAAGATGAAATGTGAAATGATAAGTAAAGATTCATTAGCGGGTCATCTTAGGAGTGTTCTTTTTTTTATTTTTTTTTTTTAAATGCTTCCATCCCTGGCCCTTTTTTCTTCCGTGAATCGATGGCGTGCGTGTCTGGTGGATAACAGCGCACGCGCACGCTATTGAAATGCCGCCGGTGTAATGTAACGTGCGTGCGTCTCGGACTTAATGGAAAGACATTACGCAAAACAGGCATCGATAGAACATTAAAAGCAATAGGTGCATGGATAAAAGAGTTTAATGGGTGCTGCGTGGAGACCATCTTGCAATTATGTCACACTCTGGAACTATTAACAATGCATTATTTACATTTTTTTAAATTAAACACGCAAGAAATGTATCAGCACACACACAAATGAATGGCCCGGAAAGATGTATCTGTCTTCGTATACTTCATGTTACTGTGCCTGAGCAGGCTAATCAGCTGTGCATTTCCCAGTTTGGGGTGTAATCCAGTATTTCTTCACGTTATTATAACCAAGAAATAGCTTATCGGCTAGAGCTGTGGTTACAAATACTCATTTTAGGACCAACAAGAAAAAGAAGCAACTTTTGTTTCAACCGATCACACTCGTAAAACTGCTGGGTCAAAAATAACCCAATTTGGGTCAAAGATTTAACTCATCCATACTTGGGACATTTTGACCCAGCATCAACAATTGGGTTTTTGGTGGGGTTTTTTTCCCCCAAAACAGACAATCCAAAATTGGGTGAAACTGACCCAAGTAGCAGGTCGGGCCAATCTTTGATCAAAATCTGATAATTTATTATTTTAAAGGTGCAGAATGTGAGCCCTAAATGCTGTATCCAAAGTCAGCAGTAAGACATACCGAACCATCCCATCACTACCAAAGTTCGGTCTCTTCAAACAGTTGGTTAAAAAATAACCTGATTTTTGTATGAAATGGTCCGATCCAATACTTGGGTCAATTTGACCCACACTTCTGGGTTGCTTACTATGAAACAACCCTTTTTTGTTGTGTTTTGTAAAAACTGACATTTTTGAGGTTGCTTTTCAAAAATTTATGACATTTTGGGGATTCTTTTTCCCAAAAAACGGGTTTGGTTTATATAAAGTGACCCCCAAAATTGAGTCCGTTTTTATAAAACAACTCCAAAAATTGGAAAGTTGGGCCAAATTCTCCCATGAAGTGAATTGGTCCACTTTTGACCCAAAGTGGGTTATTTTAACCCGAAGGTGTTTAGAGTGTAAGAATGTTAGATCAAAATGACTTAACCCTTTCATGCACCCTGTAAACCTGATAACATGATAAGCTGTCCACTGTAGTACCTGCTCTCCCTGAAAGAGTTCAACTGCAATGCACAAAACTCCAAAGCGGTGACCATCTTCAGATGGCCCAAATATCCGATCTCATGGGTCAAATCATTAACCCAACCTCGGGTAAAAGTAACCCAATAAGGCGCTCAGTGTGGGGGTTAGGAAAGCAACCCAGAATATTTTAGGGTCAATACAATCCATTTCGGTCGCATGTATTCTAGTTCTTCTCTGAATGACTGATCCTTTGAAAATTATTCTCTCGGCCCCTTCGCGTTGGTCTTAAAGTGAACATCAGCTCGTGTCACTAATGGAGGGAAACATTGGCAGATGGTCCTAATCCAGGTCTAGAGCAAATGACTCCTAAACGGCGGTAGGGAATGAAGTGAGATGTGGGATTTTTTTTTTCAAAGGCGCGGTGTCTGTTTGCGGCGGGATTAATGACCCCGGGCAGTCGAGTTGACTGGCGATTTGCTATGCTCGCAGCCGGCCGTAAACAGTATAATCTCCCTGACCGAAATCCGAGGCTGAGGACGTGTATGAATGCCTAATGCAGGAAATTCACCTGGCATATGCATCCCCCTCGGTATTAGCGAGGTGTCGGGCCGACGGCTCAGCCTAAACCGCTGTACCTAAGTAGGCTTTTCTTCAGTATTTTTGGTGACTTTTCCCCGATATCTGGACTTTCTACTTTTGATCTTAAATGCCCGTTGCTTTTTTTTCAAACATGGCAGATGACAACATGACGTGAATAGAGAGAGGTGAAGTGGAACCCGGTTGCGAGTTTGATTATTGATTGGTTGATATTGGGGGAACTCTTCGGGCGGAACGTAAACCAGGGAGCTTGAACAACAATGATGCAACAAATTGAGAAAAAGAAAGATTTTTCCCCCCCATCAAGAATTTATTTTGATCGGTGGCGCGATTGAGCAACTGCCCAGGGCAACATTTTCCAGTGCGGAGGGTCATTTGGAGCTGTCGATTTAAATTTTGATAAATAAATGGCACCTTCTACTAGACAAGACTTAAACCGGCGCCCTTTGTTTTGTTGTTGAGAAGGTCACTGGCTGCCCTCTGCCTTCTCTGCTGGACATTTCCAGCTCCCGCTGCCTCAGTTGAGCCCAGAACATTGCTATGCTCCCGTTGCACCCCAGCCATCACCTCTTCGACCTGTTGCCTTCTGGCAGGCGCTACGGGTCATTTCGAGCCAGACCAAATAGACTCACAGGCAACTTGTTCCGAAGGGCTGTTTCAGCACGACCGCCCCCCCCCCCCACCTTTCACATGGTGTACAGTGAATTTCTATGCATTTAAGCCTTTTTAATGCAGTTGGACAGGAAATTGGGCATCATTTCTAATTTATACCATATCAGTCTGCGAAGCCAACTATAGAGCTTGATATTGTTAGCGTCTGCAAAAGCAAAGTCCATGATATGTTCGCCAAGGAAGTCATTCATTCAACTTGTGGCGTTCCAAAATTCTTATCACTGAAAAAAAAGATATCAAGGTTAAGGCGTATTTTGTTTTCTCCTGTTGTCCTAAGCTAATTTAGCATTTTTTGTGGGGTGGGTGTTTTGTTTGTTTTTCTCTTCAGTACTTGTCACTTGATCAGTTCTGACTAAACTGTCAGATTACACCCTACAGCCAAAGTGTATACATAGTTTTTTTTCTCATTGTTAGATATCAAAACATGTATTGTATATAATTAACTGGGTTTTTTGTTTGTTTTTTTACTGTTGTTCCAAAAAGTCATCTTGAAATCTTTTACAAAACTAAAGAGTTGAATATTTTTACAGGTTTTTTTTCCTCCTGCATCCATACGTCGTCTTAAGTTCAGAGTGTGAGTATTTTTGCCACCGCTGCTTATAAATGCTACGGAGAGGCACTCTGACGTGCACCTTCATCACATAGCGAAAGGAGGAGGAGGCGGCGGTGATGAATGGGCCGCGGGCCTCGCCTGCCGTCTTCCTGTGACAGCGGCGCTGTAATCGGCTGCCGAGCCGGCGCCTCCATTAACTTGTGACACAGGCGCATCTGCACACTCACCGCCAGCGTCGCCCTCAGACGCTCACTCCCGATCACCCTGTCAGTACGTCACTCGCACACCGACCTGTTTATGCGCTTTTTATGTCCCACTTTGCGACAGGAAGTGAAGAAACGCATTCAAATCCTTCATTAAGCACATCTCCTGCGCGATGGACACTGACCGGCAGCTGACTTTTCAAACATGGAGCCTGAAGAAATATCCATTTTGCTGATGCTGCCCTCAATCATATTTTTTATTATATTTGGTTTTTATTTCATTTTGATTTTTTTTAACTTCCTTTTGTTTTTAGTGATTTTTTTTTTATTTATAGTGCTTTGTTTTAGTTCAGTTTTAGTATTAGTTTTAGATTTATCGACATACTGTGTCTATTACATTATATTTATTATATCCCTAAAAATTCAATTAGAAATTCACGTTTTTCCCAATCTACCCTTTTGGTTTTTTTTCTCTAACACGTTTGATTTTCATAACAATAATAATATAATATGTAATCTTTTTGAATGAGGGTTAGGTTCAGCAACAGGTGGATTTTCTTTCTGAAACGTCGCGCTAGCTATAAATTACAACACATGATAAAATCTGTATTGTGCAAGCTTTTAATGGTCAAACTTAAAAACAAAAAAAAATGTGTATATATATATATATATATCTCAAAAACCTGACTTTTTTTTTCGCGGCGTCAGGATTATGTTGAGACACACACAAAACCATCTGTGATTGAAATTTGCAGTTGACCAGTAAAATTAGAGTTACTTTTAGTCAGCTTCATACAACGCAGCTTCAGTTATGTTAAAGCACTCTGATTTTAATTTTATTTCATGAACAAAAGTGTAGGTTTATTTTTCCAATTTTGATTTTAGTTGAGTTTTTTTTTTCTTTCATTCACTACAGTAACCTTCCACAGCACACAACTGTACTTGTCAGTACCATGCAGCTGAACTGAAGGTTGTGAGCAGTGGTGATAAGTTCATCATCACACGGCGCATTTCTGCAGCATCTGGCCGCCCGTGCTAAGAAAAATCAAGCGACATTCATTTGGGGCTACAACTCAGACTTTGATTGTCACAGGGCTCCGGGGACGCCAAGTCACGGCCGCCTCTTCTCAGCTTTGAATTATGACAGAGTTGAAGTATTCAATAAATTGAACTGCGGCGTCCCGGCCGTAATTGCGTACCCACGTATGTGCGTGCCTGACACACACAAACTGCCTGCTCTGTTCATCCAGGGTGGGTCAAGCTAATCCCCCGATGCCCGCAGAGGAAGTCAATCACGGCGAGGAGGCAGACTACCTGCATTTATTTATGCACGCGCAGGTAATTAACCTACGCGTGAACTTGTGTTATTGAACCGCTTCACTTCAACACGCGAGGAGTTGGCTCGAGTAATACTACTGGAAACCTTTACACCTGATAAAAAAAAATTTTAAAAAATCAAATTAGACCGTTGTTATTCACAGTTTGAAACATTTCCTGGGTGCCTCTGACATTCCTCGATCAAAGTACACAAAGGATAAAGAATTATCCACTTGTCACGCTGGTTGGGTTCTGTCGCTTGCAGTTTCGGTGTACGGTTTTTGTTGCCATGACCACCTTGGGCCGAGAGAGAGAGGCTGTCAGTGTTGGCAAGTTTGTGGCCATATTTGGCGTCTTTTCCGACCCCTCAAGAAAGCCACTAGCAACAAATAGGGTGACTTTTCCTGGTGTAAACGGAGACTAGTTCACCCCTTGGCGTCTAGACCGTAACTAAATGGTGCTTGTGCAAAGCCACCACTGAAGGTCAGAAACCAGCGTTTTTGGTGAAAGCAACCCATATTCTACCACTTATTACAAAAGAACCAAAATAAACGTTTCTTTCGTGGCGGAAGAAGAGAGTTCGGTGCTTATAATTGTCAGAGGGTAAAATATTTTGTGGGTACCTGAAAGTCAAAATGCTCTTAAACAGAGCCAATTGTTCTATTTGTGTCTGCAAACTGCGCCCATCTTCAGGTCGCGTCCCGATTGGCTGTCGTTCCATTTCATGCAACAATCCTAAAATCCGTAACATTCCCGGTGGTAAATATTACTCTCCACACCAATAGATAATCATTTAATAAGAATCATCTTTTCATCTGATTCTCCAGCCTTCCCCCGACTTTGAGGGGTGTGAATGGGACTCGAAATTGGGCGATTATCAATATGTGTGTATGCTACTAAAGTGGTTGCTGCCCCGGCAATTGTCTCCACATAAAAACGCCAACTTCAATAAGACTAATATAAGTGACAGAATGAATGGGCAGAGCAAAGACCAACCTCCCGCAAAAAAAAAAAAAATCATATCAACAAACCTTTTGCAGCCTCATGCGTTTCTCTCATGAATGGAAATTGATTTTGAGAAATAGGAGCGCAGTGAAGTCCGCATTGATTCCAGGGCGGCGCGGCGCTGATGAACACGCCGTGATAGCCGCTCTGTGAATCACGAGCGCAAATGAAAAAAATCCTCACAGAAATGACACATTTTGGCTCAGGCGCAGAGACCTCTTGTTTCTGGCGGGCGGCTGTAAACGTACACATAAAAGATGACTGCTGCGTACATTCCCCAGCCATGTGGAAACATTGATAAAGGCCTCAAAATCAATAAGGCCTCCCATTGCTTTATGATCTTTGTGCAGCCGGAGTGATTATGCGGCGACTGGCCTCTGACACACCAGTTGATTTTTCCAAGGTGTGCACAAACGCCCCCCGGCACCAGGATTCACAGATAGTCCCATTCCACTTCAACCAATTGGAGGCTAGAAGTGAAAGTGCAGAGGGCAGACTCCTGAGGGACTCCAAAAGCTTAGAATATCATGTCTGAAGCCATTTACGTTGCACTAAGTACACATTAAATTAATTCTTGCTCTTAGGAGTGTGGCTGGGGAGAGGAAGGGCACACCCTCGACGAGTCGCCAAGTCAATCACAGGGCACATAGAGGCAAACAATGACTCACACTGACGTTCATTGAAGCGAACTTTTATTTGTTGCTGTAGTTGGTTGAGACGCTGTTTCACTTGTGTGGCTGCCCTCTTGTCCCACGTATGATACTCTCCCGGCAGGAGTGTCTTCGCCTTGATGCGTCTGCCTTTAGGGCCACGCTCCTCCGCAGGAACGTTTGACCATGCGTCACTCTGGCAGATTTATGTGCGCACCGAGTGTCAGGCTGGCCAAAGTTTAGAGTGCAGACAGGATGTTTAATGTTCGTCTCGCCCCATCTAAATCTTGCGCGTCTCTTAAACTGGATTGACACCGTCGTTCCAAGAGCCAGTTCCCATTTAACTGTCCATTTCCATGTGCATTTCTCGTAACACATCCCACGGGGCTTTTTACATTAATGGAACACACAAAACAACCCACAGATGTTTTGTATTGAAGTGACGATGCAAGTGTTCAAACCGGGCTGTGGCAACAAAGAAGTAAACAATAGTTGATAAATAATATGAGAATATTAAAGGTAGAGTTTGCAGTCTCAAAGCAAGATTTGAACGTAATCTCACTTCACTGCCCCCACTCCTCCTCTTGCATGTCTCCCCAAAGAACGGCAACCAAACGGTTCATTTTTGTTGCTTGGGCAGATGTCACGTAACATTTCCATGACATCAGACTACTCTTGAAGTCTCAATTTGGTCCTTTACAAGTATCGCAGGCTTTATTCTGTTCTAAAGATATCCAATTTCAAGCATTCATTTTTATTTGCTGGCATGACACATATCCCAATTGTACCACTTGAGAGTCAAAATTCGGTATTGTGTCACTTGAAACCATGCAGTTTTTTTTCTTTTGGCATTTATCACTGTTGACCCACTAAGGACATGCTTGGCTTATCTAATTGGCCAACCTGTAAGATCATTTAGCCAGCATGGAAAGAAAATAGTGGTCTCGCAGGGACAAAGGGGGCATTTTAGGGAAATGAGTGTGCATCCATGTTGCATCTCATCATCTTTTGTGTTGTTGTTGCAAGTTGCAATTTCAAGTTTATGCCGTTCATCCCCTCTTGCAATAAACACTTTGTCTTCCAATTCATTCCCGGAGTGCTTGTTATCAGCTCACCTCGTATCTTCCTCTTCAGTCAAAGGCTGCCGGCATGAATCACACACTAATATGAGCAAACCCTCTCGCCCCTCTCTCATTCATCCCTGCCTCTCTACGACAGGCCCAACGGTCTCCTCTTTCTTGAATATCTACGCACGCCTTCAATTTGATCGCAGACGAAAAGCAATGGAGACTTTTGCCGCTGTTGACATCGTAAATCTGAGCCGGATTAAAAAGTGCTGCTGCACTGTTGCGGGAGCTCTGCGGGGCTCATCTGTCACCTGTGGAGGAGGCGGAGGAGGCAGGAAGTCAAGAAGACTGTTAAACTACTGCCATCTGCTGGCCGATAGCGCAATAGCCAAAAAGGGCATTCCTGTCAACTGGGAGATCATTTGGATACAGTTCACCTCGCGATGACACGGTACGTCTTTCTCGGCTTCGCTGTTTCATGGATTTAATCTTTTTTTTTGAATGCCGTTAGTTTTTTGGGTTTGTTTGTTTTTTACATTCCATTGTGTTCCGCATCCTGACTGGCTTAAGGGATCGTAGACAAATGTCAACAGTCTCCACGCCTCATCGCTGGACAGCTAGCCAAATTTACGTTTGCAACAAAAACAGGTTTTGATCTTTTGGCTTCATTCTATAGTATATGTATGTATAATAATTGTAAAGAAAATGTTCAGTTCACATTTGACTTCTTGTATTGGAGCACGTTCATCTCTTAAGTGTAAACACGTCCACCGTGAAGTAGCCCACAATCCCTATCTCAGTTGGAAAAATTCCCAGCCTGCAGCCTGAATCTGAACAACTCCATCCCGCCACGCATAGGCCGCGCTTCTGACGTCACCTCTGACCCAGCCGCTGGCTCGCTCCATTCGCTCTCCCTGAACGTCTTCACAAGCGTGAGGAGGATAAGCAGGGTGGAGTGTGAGACGTGACTGCGGATTGGAGAACTATACAAGCACCCCAGTGAGTCCGAAAGCAAAGCCCGAATACAAACACAGGTTCGCACATGAGTTTTGGCAAACCCCCGTAATGGGGGGGAAGGTTCATTCATTTTTCCGTATATTGATGTCATGTTTGATGTTGAGATCTCAAATTTTGCTGTAAAGCGCACATAATACAGTGGGATACATAAATAGAATGGCACTGCACCTGCATATATAGAATCAGAATCGCCTTTATTGTCATTGTATAGCATACAACGAAATTTGGGTGCCACTCCTTAGTGCATTTCGTAAAAAAGATAAAATAGAATAAAATAACGGTTCAATAAATACAATACTCAAACAACACACAACAACAGCAGCAGCATTGGTAGTGTGGACTGAGGCTTATGTCGCGCTCAGGACACATATTGCACATGAAAATGGATGGCTCAGCTGTTCCTTATTGCACAAGTGAGGTAGATGAGTTCAGGTTTAAAATGCAGTAGCTTGATTATATTCTGTGATTATTTATTGCAGTAATGGCTTTCGGAAAAAAAACTGTCTCTGAATCTGCTTGTGTGATCTGTAATGCCGTATACATTTTATAATTGCGTTAACTGTATGTTTAGCAAATAAAATACAATGGAGAGCCAATCCGGGAATACCGATAGTTGACACCATGAAAAAAACAAACAAAAAAAAAAGATTCAACGTACAAAAACAAACTTCTACTATTAAACTATTCAGATGTTTTCCGATATCAGTTTTAATGTTATCGGTTTGATTTGATTCCATATTGACCCAATTCATTTTAATGTTATTCTCAGTTTTATTTTTGAGAATTTCCTTCATGCTGAGCATTTTCATTGACTCTATCGCCTTACGTCACCAAAGAAGTGTAATGATGATGACACACTAGTTGTGCAGGGCCTCATGGGTTTCAGCTTCACACACACAGACGCACGCACGCGTAACGGCATTGGCCGCCTGCAGATTGAATGAGCAAGTACCTGCTGTGCTATGAGCGAGCTGGCAACTCGCAGATGTAATAAAGCCGTCCGGTCCAGACTGAACATCTCAAAGCGGAGGGAAATGTAATGTTTACATTGCAGTGCCGCAATATGTGGGGGCACATCCCCAGCTGGGCCCAATTTGCGGTCCAGAGGGGTCACTTGTGCAGCGCTGCCACTGCACAAAGGGAATGAATAGCGAGAAAATGAGCTTTCACTCTCAAGTGAAATTGATTGTGGAAGCTGCACAAGGGTGTGTATTATACACTATTGATTTCTGCTTGTGTGCACTCGCACACTTTTCATTGCTTTGAACAGCTAATATCCATCAAAAGGAAGCTGCTTTATAAGAGAGCGCATGAACAGTTTTACATTTCAACTACAGGAAAGTAAATCATCGTGATGATCCGTTTCGTACTGACTGTAATGCCCTCACGTGGGGGAAAGGAGAGCCACGGTCAATAATGCACTTTCAAGGTGTTTCTTGAATGCCAGAACGGTTTGTAAATTCTGACTACAGGAAGCACATTCATGCAGAAGCTGCTGTGTGTGTGTGTGTGTGTGTGTGTGTGTGTGTGTGTGTGTGTGTGTGTGTGTGTGTAAAACGGAGTGATACACTTTAGTTAATTAAATTATGACGGAAGTGACGCAACAGCGCACAGTCTGGCACCGACTTCCCGCCGTAGCTGAGGCAGAGTTACGAGGAAGTGGCATTGGTCAGTTGCATCTCGTTGATGGTCCGTATCCATTTTTAATTCATCAGAATATTTCACTTTGTTTTTCTTTTTCTATTGTGTGGTGTGCTTAATTAGTTCCGTGATTCGTTCTGAGTCTACATTGCTTTTTATATTGTTATTTAATTTACGTTTTGTCGAGTGAAAATATTTTATATGTTGAGTTGATGGAAAGTGCTTGTTGTTGTCATGTCAGAGACCGAATGCGACTTCACAATTGCTGACGTCATACTGTGTTGCAGACAATGTTTGTTTCTTTTCAGTTTCACTGTATATAGTTGTTCGTGTCGTTTTTCATTTGGTCGCTTGTGGTAGCGGCGTGAGCCAGCAGTTCGTCGCGGCCGCTATTATTGTTCCTTGCAAGCCGTTTCTGCTGCGCGTGATGCGTTTAGTGACATCACGTAAATAACAGCGATTGCGTTTTTTCTCCTTTTTCTGTACTGTACATAGTTGCCATACGATCGCCCATGTTGTGTATTTCGTTTTGTTATCGACAAGGTTTTGTTATAAGGTAGAGATACGAGGAAGTTGCTTTGTCATGCCTGAACAAATAGTCTAATACAGCGTAGATCAAGCCAATTATTCTAAACAGAGCTCTGGGTCATCATCTTCTCCTAACCGCGAGGGGAGGGAAGCAGAGTGACAAAAACGCCTTTCCCTTGACCCACCCAAAAAGGGTGTGGCTCTCTTTGCGTGCGTGCGTGCGTGCGTGCGTGCGTGCGTGCGTGTGCATAGACAAATGGTCTGCGAGGCAGTGGCGGTTCTAGATCAGTTTCACTGAGGGGGCCGGGCTGGGGCCGGGGGTTTTGATGGAGGGGCACATTCAACCCAGGGCTAAAAAGACAGATTCGAAATATTATTTGACTTTTTATTTCATCAAACTTTCAAAGCATTGTAGTCATAACATTACAGTGATGAGAAAAAAACAGTATTAGGAGGGCTAAAATATCTGCAAGCGTAACAATACGCCGAGTCCATCTGTTGAGAATATTCAAGCCAGGGGTGGATATGGTACCAGCCTGCCTTGAAGATCCTTCTCCTGTCCCCCATCAGGGTCCTGGGAAACTGTTTTAGCTCTGGCTGCATTGGCGGGTCCTCTTTACATCTACTGATGTCTGTGGACAAAGACAAACCAAATAAATGTAAACACAAGTTCTGCATGGACACAGCATATACACTAACCCGGTACACTTAGATTGCTGAGGCACTCAGACATATACAAGTGTCTAAAATGTATTGATTGATGCTATTTATTAATTGTATTAATTAGTTTTTATTGTATTCAATAAATATAAATTAATACATTCTCAAGCCTGACCAGAGACTAAAATTGCAAATACACTGAAGCTAAATGTTTTACATGCAT